AAATGATACCCACCAAATTTTGGGGTTACTAACAGTATTTTCAGCAGTCCAACACTGCTAAAAATCCCAGAAAACATAAACAAGTGCATAATAAAAGCAGGCCAGACAGATGTTAATGTTGCACTGTGTTCATATTAATGGACTGTCCACAGTGTATAAGCAGCAGGAGCCTGCAGACGGGCTGTAATGTTCAGAACAGCTGGCCCATAAAGGTTGGGAGGATGCAGGCGGCCGGGGCCAACAGGACGGAAGCTTTCCTCTGCCCAGTAGCTTCCTGTTTTCAGACACAGCTCAAATGAAAGGAAACCTGCTGACCCCAGATCCACTCTCAGCTTAGTCCAACAAACCCACGTGCTTACAGAGATGGTTTCATTTGCTGTTATAATGAAATAGTCCTTGTTGAACATGACACCCAGTACAATAATAAAGTCTCAATGTGGTGGTCACTTACTTATACAAATTCACACTGGGTTTGCACTGATCACTCAAGACTGACATTAAGAGCCAGTACAGACAGCTAACCCTCACCATCTAGTGGTGAAAACAGTAAATAGAAGTCCAAAGGGATCCCTCATAATTTTCCCCAGTCAGGCACCTCAACAGTCACCCCATGCTTATCTCCTTTTTTTGTTGTTGCTTATATTACTGTGATTAAAAAAAAAATCAAATTAAAAGGATGTGACTTTTAAACATGAGACAACTATAACTGTGATGTATAAAATCATTCAATCTGATGTTTAGGTTAGATGTTCAAAACCCAAAGCACAGGTTGGGATGCAAAAATCATTAATCATAAAATTATATATTATACATAGAGAAATTCTTTACACTAATAAAAAACTGAAAAAAAAACCCTTTATTTTATTGGATAATTTCACTCAGGAATCAAGACAAGGATGGACCAGCTGGAAGATGATGCTTTAAAGGTTTCTTCAGTTACTTTACATACAAAGTTATGTACTTGGGAAAAACTGAATGATTCTGCAAACAAACATTTTGCTCTCATGCACTCAACAGCAGCTCTTCACATATACCCATTTTCCACCAACATGGAACTGGTTCAGTTCTGATTCTTGCACCTAATTTCGAACCACTCAGAGTATTTCAACTAAAAATAGATTGGTTTGGAACCTGAAAAGTTCGTTCTCAGCTGGAACCAAAAATTAGCATGTTTTCCTTGACCTGAGGTGCGAACTGCAACGACATCAGTGGGCATGTCATATTCTACAGGTTGGAAAGTGAGGGTGAAGAAGGCAATGATGGAGAAGTCAAGTACAAAACTTAGCGTGTAGTGATCTAATTCATAGTTTGTTCTTATTTTTTTGTGCAATAACAGAACAAAAGTTCACAGGTAATCAGTTTAACCCGCAATTTTGCTACTTCTGTTTACTTCCGTTGTGCATATTGCATCGTCCTCCACTGACGACACATCCTTGATTACAATGGTATTGTGAGAAACTGGTGGAAACCTGGGCTGGTTCACTAGATAGGATCAAGGTTCCAAGAATCCTGAATGAAACTGGTTCAAGAACTAGAGCTGATTTGGTTGAACAGGGGTAATACTGACAATCACAGTTTCAACACACAACTGATAGGATTCTTTTTTTTTTTTTTTAAGCTTGGCGCCACCTAGCGTCAGTGGTGTTGCATCGCACTGTCGCAACGAACAAATTGACCGCAGGGATCAGAGATAATCAATAATATCACTCTATCAGACACTCTAAATTAAATAAAATGTAGGCTGTAAAGCCACCAGTATACCTCTCTGTATATGTAGAATGAGAAGGTGTGTGGACACTTTACTAAATAAATGAGTAAAGAGACTGAGCAACAATTATCAGATTTATCTGAAGAAAAAAACAAATAGTAATGCAAATAACAGGGTTCCTACACATTTGGAATTTCAAAATTCCATACTTTTCCATACCCTAATTTCCAGAATTCTAAGCGTTTTGTTTTAAGAAATTTTTACAGAGAATATGCAACATCTGAGTAAATATATCAGTGTATTATATTTCACATCATATTTAATTATTCTTAATAGGCAATTGTAGCCAAGTACCATAATGGCATGCAAATAAAAACTCAGGTAAGGCAATGTCTGGGCTGAGGCAAAAAGGGTGGGACTCTGGGTGCAAGCGATGCAGTAACGAGACGTCGGTATTTTTTCCTTTCATGTGGCTCAGAATCACCTTCTCCCCCATGTTGGCGATGTCAAATGGTTTCACACAAAGGTTGCATCTAGCTCTGTGTGTGAATTGGGAATCCTTAGCCAACCAGTATTTATATATGGTGTTGTCAAGCCATCCATCCAAAAACTTGCATCTACCCATTGTGAACCACATGAAACTCGTCTTCTTGTCAAAGGTGCAGTGTTGGAGTGAAACTTGATACCTGGGTCATGGGGCAGCGGACTGGACATACCACTTGTCAATCAGGTAAAAGGGGCAGTATGTTTTCTGAGACGTTTGCTCTCACACAAACTGTGCTTGGCCCGGCATAAAACACGATCCGGATTGATTAAATTATTTTTGGAAATACCTAATTTTCTGTTTTAGAAAACAGTATTTTAGAACAGTGGTAATAGTCTGGAAACATAAATATCTTTCCATACTTTATTTTTCATTTTCCATACTTTAATACCTGGAAATTGATCAAATTTATTTCCATACTTGCGTAGGAACCCTATATCAAAAGGCTCAAGTGAAGTCACAAGTCATGATCTTAAAGTCAAAGTTGAGTTGCAAGTTTTTTTTTTTGATATTGTCAAGTCCAAAATCATCCATTTTGTGTTTCTGACCTCGAGTCCAAGTCATGTGACTCATATCCACACCTCTGGCGGCAACACCTACAGTGATTAAAAAACTGACTCTCTCTCCTCTAATGTGCTTCATTGCTTCTTCCTGCAGGTTATTAGGGGAGACATGTCCAAAATTCCATCCAGGGAGCCAACTGTGGCCTTCAGACTGATTTTAAATGGCCCTTGGCCTGACTTTCAAAAGATACTATATGTGTCCTGCCATACAATATTGGTTGATCAAGCATTTGCACTTTGTATTTTACATCACAATGGCAGAATGACAAATAGTTTGTAGACATGCACTGAATAGGAAATATACAGGCGAAACTAATGTGTTTTCATAAACAGATGATAAGCAAGCACAGGGAACAGTTACCTAACATCAGACATTTCCTGCCAGGTGGCAGACATGGCCACGGCAAATAAGCATTAAATCGACAGTGAGGGCTGCTGCTTTTAGGAGCTGAATACTGAAACATGACACAGTTTTGTGTGACTTGTTTGGTTGTGATTTTCTTTTTTTAATAACCCATTTGATGCGAGAAGCAGCTGGCCTTTGGATTTTTTCACATTATATAATCTGGCCTCCACTCAAAAATGTTTGGACACCCCTGTATTAAACTGAACGGTCTTGTACTTGTACCACATTTAGTGAGAGCAGCTGACAAGAAAATACATCACAAATTTGTTGGGGTCAACACATTAGGCTTCACACGGAGGCACCAAAAATGTTGGGAACATAAATTCGGGCTTCACACGGCGGCACCAAATATGTTGGGATTTAATTGGCTATCGGAAATAATTAATTATTATTATTAATAATTAATAATTATGTTAAATAATGTGACTTAATTAACATTAAATCACCTCGTGGGGCACCATTCCCGTAAAGGGAAAATGATAGCCAGTTAAAGATATCAGTCTCAGAAAATAGGCTAAACTATTAATTTGGAGTTTTGATTAATAATTAAATTAATGACAACAACCAAAATTAACAGTAACGCCTGAAGAATTTCGGAGTTCTTGACGCAGCAGAGGTTGACTATTCATTCACTCTTGTGCAACATTAAACAGACAGCAGGTATGATTCCAAAGAATTATATTTATTCACAAACTAGCAAAGCAAACCAAAACACACAAATTCTAACTAACTATATACAAGCTTGGTGTGTATATGTGTGTGTGCAAGAGAGAAAAAGAGAAAGACAAAGGTGGGTGTGGTGATCAAAGAGCTGTTTGGCCTACAAAACAAAATGGCTGACAACAGAGAACTACCAAAATGGCCGAATCAAGGCTGGCTCCAGGTCAGGGGAGGTGTTTGTCTGACCGTGTGGTCAGGACAAAGACAAAGGAAAAGAAGCGGGAACTTTGAGATGCCTGTTTGGGTGTAGCTCTGTTGAAAGCCTATTTGTTAATGAGTCTATGTCAATGTGACATGTGTTGCAAACAGTCTGGATTAGTGCAAATATTGTTTAGTTGTGTGCAAGAATCTGTTTGTGAACAGTATTAGCAAACTAAATACTTAGCTTTGGCGAAGCCAACTAATCAATGGCCTAACTGCAATCTAATCACAACAATAACTCAATGAACAGCATCAAATCACATACAAGTTAAACAGTCTTGCTTAGCCTGTAAAGCTGTGATAAGCTATGCCCAGTTGTTACGTTACCGATCCTTAAATGGATGGGAGAAAGAGTCACTTGGTGGTGTACTGCTTTGTTAGCCGGCAGAAGAAGGCTGGGAAGATGGTTCCAGGCGCAGTCTTTGTTGGGTCCTTTGTTCCAAAGGTGAAACTCTGAGGAAGCTGGTCGCTCAGGGTTTAGCAGAGTTAGACGCTGGGTGCTAACTCACTTAGTTCCTTGTTGCTGGAAAGCTAGTTGCAAACCTTGTGTTTCTATGATCCATTGCCCTCCCTTTAGTGGTTTGGGGCTATGGAGCAAGGGTCTGGGCCTCTGCTGTTCCAGGCCCAGCTGGAAAGAGGTGTTACCTGTTTAACAGCTGGAGAGCAAGAGAGAGAGCTTGAAAGGAGCAGGACTTAGCTTAGAGTTTGGTGACATCACAGAGGGGCATGTCACTGTAACAGTGCTGTCCAATCAAGTTGTGAGACTTGTGTCTCACTGAGGTGTGAGGTGAGACCTCCTGTGGAGATGGGTGTCACCTAGCTGTCTTTGTTTGGAGAACAAAGAGCATGCAGAGGAAAAAGCCTTAAATGCCCAGTGATGATTTTACCAAATGATAAATCATCTGTGGTCCTGTGAATCCCAACATATTGTTATTACGCTTGATGAATCAAACATATTTCACTTACTCAGTGTTACATATTGTTAATTTCAACAACACAGCATTAACAAATGACATACTAATTTCTTTATGATCACATGTCAGTGAGTCATGGAGTACAGTAAATGCTGACAATGACAAAAGATAAAATACTGAAAATATAGAGAAAGGAATTATAAATTGATTTGATATTGTGCAACAGATCACCTCCATACACGGAAATGAAAGTGTTCAGGACCAGACAGCTTCTAAGTCTGGTTCTAAAACTTAAACATGAAGGACTTTTTGAAGAGACTTTGCTATTACTCCCTTGGAAGATTAATAATACCCATAGTCCTTTTCAGAAAGGTCTTTTTAGAGGAGAACATCATCCTCATCCTGCTGAGGAGCCTGGAGTGCAAGATCACTGGTGACACTTCAGCTGGAATGATTTTGGTATCAACACGTTATCACACAGTTAGAGTTCACATGGCAATAGCAGCGATGGCCTCAAGCTGGATACTGTCCTCGTTCTGAGATTGGATGTCAGACTGTGCAGCGTCAGGTTTGTCCTCTGCAAATTTTTTCACCTTTGTGTCCTTGAGTATCTGTGAGACGAGCTTCTCAAAAAACCACTCTAGGTCCTGAGGGTCCTCCGGCCAAATTAGGTACTTTCTCCTTTGGATGAAAGCTCGGATTGCATGGTGCTTCATCAGCTGGTAGTGAGCCACCTTGAGTTGTATTGTGTTAGAATGGAGATGTTGATCAGTAGTGAAGGTCAGGAACTTAATTTTTTTTTATTATAATTCTTAAAAATAATAATACTAACAAGATAAAAAAAAATATTTTCTAAAAATTGCAAAGCACCAGTTCCTTCCCTCTTTGTTAAGTAATATTACTTAAATCTGTATGAAGCCTGACATCTGCTTGTGAAAAGTATGTACTGAATTGCCCATCATCCAGTGATGTCTAGAGAGTTGCTCACCTGGCAACAAAGATGTGTCAGTGACAGATAAAAAGATAGGTAACTATTTTACTATGCAGTTGTCCCAGTAGTGGCATCTAGTAGTGACATAGCAGAGTTGGTTGGTTGGCGGACTTCTTGGGAGAGGACCAGGCGCCCACGAAGTTAGCCAAGCTTTGAAGCCAATTTTCATAGTAGCCAAACAGTAGTACTGCAATTTCAGGGATCTGTCACATAATGCCAATGGGCCCAACAATACTTTTTCCGTTCACTTATACTGGGAAAGAGACATCTGTAAATCAGTGGATACATTTTTGAGCATCACTACCCCCTCCAAATGACTCATTTCACAATCAGGATTTAATTAATTCCATCTGACAACATTTAGAAAGTCTAGAAGAGCTGCAAGATTAAATAATTTCGTACCCATGTAAGTTAGCAAAGTGCCAAACTAGAAGTAGCCAGATCGGCTGGTCTCTCCGCCTGCTCTATGGGCAGTGATACAGAAGCCGCTCCGATTGTCTGGGTAATTTGATACTGCTGCAATAGAGCTTTTTGGCTTCATGTGCCACTGAGCAACTTTTAAAAGGAATAAACAAGGTCCTGCCTCCAATGCTGTATCCAGGTCTTTTAATAGATCCATGGAAAGGACCCACTCTGTATGTAGATATAACTGCTCATTCTAGGGTAGCAAAAAACACAACAACTCTTATTTTCAGGTGATAATACACTAAAGAAAATAGATATGGATATTATATACAATTTCTGTCAGTGGATGCCCCTAAATCCTACACACTGGGCCTTTAAGAAAAAATGAGATTTGTTCGTTTGAGTTTGGTTACTCTTTAAAGCAGCTCTTATCAATAGTTTTGTATTAACAGTGGGTCACATGACTACCAGTATGCAGTGGCGTAGTGGTAATTGATGAGCTGGGTGTATTACTAGGTAGATGGATAGATTGCCAAGGAGGAAGTGGGCACACCCTCCTATATATCCCAATGGCTTTTTGGTTGATAGGTGGGTATACTGTACACAGCCTGAAAAAGAAGTAGGTATACCCTCCACTACAACACTACTTGCATGTTTAAGTTGTCTCATGTGTGTGCACTGCACTATCTGCCCAGCATCAAACAAACAAACAAAGCTGAATATAGTGTAGCATTTAGCAGCTAAGGAGGATTTAGAGACCAGAGCTAAAAGGAGAGCAAATATTGGACTTTAATTTGTCACATGGCCAGCAAAAAACACAACAATAACAATAATGCCAAGATTGCTCTGTGTCTCCTTGAAGTTTATAGGGAACTACTTGTTGGCTGCTAGTTTCCCCTGCCCCCAAAGTCCCCAATTTTTTTTTAGTAAAAACACCCACAGACAGATATTTAAAAATTCTAAATATGGCTTTTGCTGACCCTAGAGAATGGGTGCAAATTAAGTATCTCAGCAGCCTTATACACACCTTCCCTACCACCAACATAATCAGGATGCTCGTTGGCTCCTCCAGCATCCGGCCCTGGGCCAATGAGAACGCCTCCAAGCACCAACCATCTAGAAAGAGGCACGACTCAGTTAGTTTTTCTAACCTATTTATTATTTCATTTTGTAACTAATTTTATGACTCACAAAGGAGGGAAAGGAAAGACGAGAGGAAAGTTAAGCCACTGCAGGTCAGCAAAAACAAGATTTTCAGGGGGTGTTAAGTTACTCAAAATGCACACACAGGACACACACGTCTCTCAAAATGTCAAACTATGCCTTAGAAAAAAAGGAGAAAATATTTCAAAGCTAAGACTTAAGGAGACAAATGTAGACTTGCAACTGTTAATAACTCAGAAAAACTGTACCTTTGAGGAACTCTTTGGAGACGATGCACACAGTCTTCCTGCTGCCCCAGATGGAATCTCTGATGTTGGAAAGGTGATCCTCACCTGGCAGGAAGTCTCTGGCCTCGAAACAGCAGTGGAGGATGTTCCCCTTTGAAAACTGGTTATCCAGCTTCTTAAGCAATGCAGCCTCTACCCACCCATAGTCATTGTTGCTAAAGCAGAGGAAGGCGTCATACTGCACTTCGTCAACATAAGTTGTCGGTTTTGGGCCATTGACAACCCTACTGATGATCTTTTTGTAGATAATGAATATGTGCCCTCGGAGACGGGCGTAAACAATCCCACTGAGGATGAAAGCAATGATGAGGAGAGCAGAGAGGATGAAAAGCGCAATCTTAAGGTCTTGGACGTCCTCACATGGTTTGACGTTTGTGGAGTATTCCAGTAGAGAATGTTTATGGAGAGCAGCTGGAAACTCACATCTGAACTCATCAATCGGGCTGAAGAAGTTTACATGTGTCACTTTCAGCCACTTCAGGAAGCTCTCCAGATTGCAATCACAGTGGAACCGATTTGCAGCCAGGCTAAGGAAGCTGATGGACTGAAAAGTCCTTGGGTCTGGAGCGGCTAAAAAGTTGTTAGAGAGGTCGAGTCTTTTCAGGCTGACCGGGAAAATATCTGGCTGCAAAAAAGTTAAGGCGTTAGATGAGAGGTCGATCTCTGTGATTGAGCCTAGACCATTAAAAATCCCTCGTGGGAGAGCCGCAAGTGAGTTTAAGCTTAAATTTAGACCCTGCAAATTTTCTAGATGATCAAAAAGGTTGAGGCACTCCCCCCGCCCCCAGATTATATGCAGGGAGCTGTCATGAAGATCCAGCACTCGCAAACTATTATTGTGAGGTACTGTAACATTCTGACTGCACCACTTGATCAAGTTGCCACCATAGAAGAAAGTTTGGAGATGCCTGAATTGGGTTAAAATTACAAAAATATCATCCAAATTTGTTAGTTTATTGTCTGCAACATCCACATAAATACTGTTATTACCCAATTTATTTATGTTGTATATAGATGTCAACCTATTGTCGCCCAAGAGAAGAAAATCTAAGTTTGGTAATGGTGCAGGAGAACCTAGGACTCGCAGTGAATTTCCCGTCAGATATAACGCTCGTAATTTAGGAAGACCACTGAATGCTTCATGTCCCAAGGCCCCAATGTAGTTGTATGACAAATCTAACACCCGAAGGTCTGTCAGATTGGTAAATGTGTGAGAATATATTTCTCCTAAGAGGTTAGATGACAGGTTGAGCAATCGTAAATGTCCTTGAAGACCATCAAAGGCATTTCTGTTTATCTGATTGATTTTGTTCATGGAAATGTCAACGATTTTTGCATCCTTTAGAGGACTTAAAAAAGCCTTCTGCAAAGTAAATATATAGTTTTTAGACAGATCTAAAATGGTAACTGAACTATTCATGAGGCCTTCAAATGTGTTTTTATCTGGATCTGGAAGGTTGTTAAATGAAAAGCCTTTACCCATGTGTCCAGATAATATAACATGAGCAATTGGGGTACCCTGTATTGCTTTAAAAAAATTTCTTGCTATGGTCACGCTGAACCCATTGCTGGATAAGTCAAGGGTATTAAAGGCCATCCCTCTGAAAGGGTTCCCACATCTTTCCCAGTCAAAATCATCACTATACCTAACGTAATTGGATTGCAAGTTCAGGAGTGTGAAGTATTTCCCCTGGAAACCGACAAGATCCTCTTCACATAAACTTTCAATACGATTCAATTTGAGGTTTAGTTGTGTGAACTTTGTAAGTTTTGAAAAGAACAGTCCTGGTCGGAGTCTCACTATTTTATTACCAGAGAGATCAAGCTTTTCTAGGGATAAAAGTGGCTGCAGATAGCTTTCTGCCAGTATAGAGTCTGACAAATTGCAATGATCCAAAAACAAATTTTGTAAGTTAAACAGTCCTGCAAAAGCCCTTGGCTCCAGCTGAAGCTGGGTGTTGCCAAGGACCAACTTTATCAGTTTTCTCTGCCTGAGGAAAGCGTTGTTCCTTATGACAAGCAGCACTTTCTGACTTCCAAGATCTACTCGTTGCAGCTGGTCATAGCTTCTGAGCGAGCTGCTGTTGATCTCACCGATGTAGTTCATCTCCAGGTAGAGGTCTGTGATGTTGGGAGGCAGAGCAGGAACCCAGTAGTGGTGCTGCATGGCGCAATTAGCCACAATGCCGTATAAAGTGCATGATGGGTAGCATGCGATTCCCTGCAGGTGGGAAGGTTAAACTTTTTTGTAAATTTAGAAATGACTGAACTCTATGGTTAAAGGATTTGTTCAACATTTTAAGAAATATGCTTATTTGCTTTGAAGCTGAGAATTAATTGCAAAGATTGATACCACTCTTATGTCTATATGGTAAGTATGCAGCTGGAACCAGCAGCCAGTTAGCTTAGCTTAGCATAAAGAGTCAAAATGGGGAAACAGCAACATTTAAGCATTTTTTAAATCAGTACAAAACATGTTAATTTGTGAGCTTTAATTGATGGCAGATGTTTTTACTGTCGGATGGAGCCAGGCCAGCTGTAGCTAGGCCGTTGGAAGCCTTTATACTCAGCTACCCGACTGCAGGTTGTAACTTAATATTTACCATTCAGATATGAGAGTGCTTCTTCTAATCTAATTTCCCAAAATACTGAACCTTTTCTTTATTCATAGTGAGGCCGGGATTTCTGGTAGGGATGCACGATAATATTGGCACATGATCGGCTTTGAAATAAAATACTGGAATGGGTCGACATACTTTTTCTTAATTTGCACAATGAATATTACATACATAGAAAAATATTGTATTTCATGTCTCCATCTGCTGCTGGGCCTCACGATATGAGTATGTATGTATAATATGATGAGACTTGATGATCACTAAAATGAAGTGGCGAAAAAAGTAGACCTGATTGGTTTTGTGCTATTCACATACCTGTAGGTATGAACCGATGAAAACCATGTGAAAGGCCAGTGTCCACATACTGTCTTCGTCCTGACAAGATGTCCAAAGAGAAAGTCAAACTTTAGCAAAGCTTAAAGGAAGTGATGCTGTTGCATTGGCTCAGCAGTGCAAATATTAGTGTGGACAGGTAAGCTGGGTATGTGGGCATGTAGCAAAGTATGTAGAAAAAAAAGGGTAAACTGTGTCAGGTTATTTGCTTTGGTAGGTTAATGGTTGACAGTTCAATGCTGTCAACCAGTCATGCCTGCTATGAGTTTTTTTCAATAAAGTTCCATTCAAATAGTTCACGTGAATGTAGTTTCTTCTGCTGCACCTCCACTCTGCTATACTACTGTAATTAGCCTTTGTGACAGTAACATGTTTAAGGCTATAGTGTGGAGTGTGTAAAATGAGGAGACAGGAGACGGAGATGCGTCGAGTCAGCTTTACTCTCCACTTAACATATATATAACTGCACAGTACAGCAAGCGAGGTGAAAACGTAAACACAACATAAACCCGGAACCACTAGTACCCCGTCAACCTCTCCCTTAAAGTCCTAAGGCAAGTCCTAAGTCCCTTGGTGAATGTCTCTCTCAATGTCTATTGTGGGTCACCACACAGGCCCCCCCAAAATTCACCCATAATAACAGGACCAGAAAGAACAGGCACCCCAATTAGAACAGACACCCACCCACTAGTGCAAAACAGAACAATCCCGCTTATAACAGTCCCTAGAAAAGTCAACAGGCTGTAGGGGGGCGGATCAGGGGGCCATAACGGCTGCGCTTAACAGGAGGGGGGTCAAAGGCAAGGGGTAGGGCTGGGGCTTGGGCCAAAACCTCAGCAGGGACAGGGGAAGAGCCAGGGGCAGGGGACGCGGCTGTTGCACGGGGGTGCCCCCGCCGTGGAGGCTGGGCCAGCTGAAGCGGTTCCCCAACATCCATATGAGCAGGCTTGAGACGGTCTATAGCCACCCGCTCAGGCTTTCCCCCATATCCAGCCTTGAGGTAACAAAAGTGTGGACCAATTTTTCTGCATCTTTTAGGGTCAGGATAGGCCTAATTTTTGCAATATTACGCAGATGAAAAAATGCAGTCCGTGAGGTTTGTTTTAAATGAGAATTAAGAGACAAATCTTGATCAAATATTACTCTGAGGTTTCTTACGGTAGTGCTAGAGGCCAGAGCAATGCCATCTAGAGAAACTATGTCATCAGATAAAGAGTCTCTGAGTTATTTGGGGCCAAGAACAATAACTTAAGTTTTGTCTGAATTTAACATCAGGAAATTGGTGCTCATCCAAGTTTTTATGTCTTTAAGGCAGTTATGGAGTTTAGTTAATTGATTACTTTCTTCTGGCTTCATCGATAAATACAACTGAGTATCATCCGCATAACAATGGAAATTTATAGAGTGATTTCTAATGATGTTACCTAAAGGAAGCATATATAGAGTAAATAGGATTGGTCCGAGCACAGAACCTTGCGGAACTCCAAAACAAACTTTGGTACGTAAGGATGATTCATTATGAACGTCAACAAACTGAAAACAATCAGATAAATAAGATTTAAACCAGCTCAGTGCAGAACCTTTTAGGCCAATTAAGTGATCCAGTCTCTGCAGTAGAATTTGATGGTCAATTGTGTCAAACGCCGCACTAAGATCTAATAAAACAAGTACAGAGACAAGTCCTTTGTCTGAAGCAATCAGGAGGTCATTTGTAATTTTAACTAGTGCTGTCTCAGTGCTATGATGCACTCTAAATCCTGACTGAAATTCCTCAAATAAATTATTATCATGGAGAAAATCACACAGCTGGTCTGCAACTACTTTCTCAAGGATCTTTGACATAAAGGGAAGATTAGATATTGGTCTATAGTTGGCTAACACCTCTGGATCCAGGGTGGGCTTTTTTAGTAGAGGTTTAATTACAGCTACCTTAAAAGACTGTGGTACATAGCCTATTAATAAGGATAGATTGATCATATCTAATATATGAGTGTTAACTAAAGGTAAGACCTCCTTAAGTAGCCTAGTTGGGATGGGGTCTAAGAGACATGTTGATGATTTAGATGAAGAAATCACTGCGATCAATTCTTGAAGAGAAATTGGGGAGAAGCAATCTAAATATATATTAGGTCTTACAGCTGTGTTTGAGGTTAGATAGGTACTATCTGAGGACAGGAGGTCATGAATTTTGCCTCTAATAGTTAGAATTTTGTCATTAAAAAAGCTCATAAAATCATTACTGCTAAGGGCTAAAGGAATACAAGGCTCAATAGAGCTTTGACTCTCAGTCAGCCTGGCTACAGTGCTGAAAAGAAACCTGGGGTTGTTCTTATTGTCTTCTATTAATGCTGAGTAATAGTTTGCTCTGGCATTGCGGAGGCCCCTCTTATAAGTTTTGAGACTGTCTGTCCAGATTAAACAAAATTCTTCCAGTTTGGTTAATCACCAATTCCTTTCAAATTTTCGCGATATTTGTTTTAACTTACGGGTTTGAGAGTTATACCAAGGAGCGAACTTTCTTTGCTTTTTTAACTTCATTTTAAGAGGAGCTACAGAGTCAAGTGTTGTTCGCAGCGAGCCTATGGCGCTATCGACAAAATGATCAAAGTCGGTACAGGAAACCTCTGTTACTGAGGGACTTGGTATTGAATTTAACGACGGAGTAATCTTTTCCTTAAATTTTGCGACAGCACTATCTGATAAACATCTAGTATAGTAACTGTTGCTGAGTGGCGTGTAATCGAGTAAAAAGAAATCAAAAGTAATCAGATAATGATCCGATAGCGAGGGATTCTGTGGAAAGACTTTTAGGTTATCAATTTCAATTCCATACGTCAGAACTAGATCGAGGGTATGAAGCCTGAAGATCTTCCTTAGGGGCGGAGCAAAGCATAACCCATGGGAGACAGTCAGCCCAGTCGCTGCCTGTGAGGCTGGCCCTGAGCGCGGCCTTCATGTCACGATGAAACCGCTCGCAAAGTCCGTTGCTCTGTGGGTTATACGCTGTGGTACGGTGGACCTTTACCCCCAGGCCCTCGGCGACCGCAGTCCAAAGCTCCGATGTGAACTGCAGACCTTGGTCTGAGGAGAGGTCAGACGGTGTGCCGAAATGGGCCACCCAAGCTATAATGAACGCCCGGGCCATGTCAGCTGATGTAGTAGAGGACAGGGGGACAACTTCTGGCCACCTGGTGGTCCTGTCCACCATGGTGAGGAGGTAGGTGTAGCCACGGGAGGGGGGAAGGGGCCCCACCAGGTCTACATTCACATGGTCAAAACATCTCTCTGGCACCCTGAAGGGCGCCAAAGGGGCCTTAGTATGATGCGTCACCTTTGCGCGCTGGCACGCCACGCAGGCAGCAGCCCAGGCCCTGACATCCCTCCACAGGCCCGGCTAGACGAACTTGGCCTCCACCAGCTTGGTAAAGGCCCTCACCCCCGGGTGGGAAAGGCCGTGGATGGCGTCAAAGACCTGGCGCCTCCAGCCAGCAGGTACCATAGGGCGCGGCAGGCCAGTGGAGACATCGCAGAGGAGCGTTGCGTTGGCCGTGTCAAACACCACATCTTCCATGAGCAGCGCCGCGGGGGCTGTCCGGTAGGCTTGAACCTCAGAGTCCGCAGTCTGGTCCGCCGCCATGGCTGCGTAGTCGAGGATCAAGTGGACGGACCCAGCGACCGCCCGGGAAAGTCGGGGACGAAATTGTCCTTGCCGGCCACGTGCTGAATGACGGTGGTGTACTCGGAGATGGCAGAGAGCTGTTGTCGACCAGACCATGGCTTTGAAGACTTGGCCATGGTGAATGTCAGTGGCTTGTGGTCAACGAAAGGTGTGAACCGCCGGCCCTCCAGCAGGAGCCGGAAATGACGAGAGGAAAAGACCCAGGAGCTCTCTGTCGAAGGCGCTGTATTTCCTCTCGCTGTCACGGAGCTTCCTGCTGAAAAAGGCCAGCGGCTGCCAGGCTCCGCCCACCCACTGCTCACACACAGCCCCCACCGCGTAATCAGAGGCATCTGTAGTGAGAGCAACTGGGGCAGTCAGAGACGGGTGCGCCAGCAGAGCAGCGTTGGCCAGCGCGGTTTTGGCAGCGCCAAAAGCATCAGTCATCCATGGGGACCAATCCAACTCATCCATGGGGACCAATCCAACTCGTCCAACTCGGTGCGGGGGCGTGGGAAGCTGCCGGAGATGCGTGAGATGGTCCTCCGCGGACGCACTGGCCATGAGAATGTCGTCCAACTAAACAAACAAGAACGGCATGTCTCGCAGTACAGAGTACGGCGCTGAAACGTCTGCGCTGCACCCTTGAGGCCAAAAGGCATCCGCAGGAATTCAAAAAGGCCAAAGGGTGTGATGACCGCTGTCTTGGGGACATCCTGCAGGTGGACGGGCACCTGGTGGTAACCGCGCACCAGGTCCACCTTCGAAAAGATGGTGGCACCGGCAAGGTGGGCAGAAAAGTCCTGTATGTGCGGCGCTGGGTACCAGTCGGGGGTGGTGGCGTTATTTAGGCGATGAAAATCACCACAGGGGCGCCAACCGCCATCAGCCTTGGTTACCATGTGCAGGGGGAGGCCCATGAACTGTTGGAGCGGCGCACAATGCCGAGGTGCTCCATGGTGGTGAACTCCTCCCTGGCGATTGCGAGCTTGGCAGAGTCGAGGCACCGGGCTTGTGCATAGACTGGGGGGCCGACTGTGGTGATGTGGTGCTCCATGCCATGATTAGCCACCGCCGATGCAAAAGAGAGGGTGTCGATCAGGCGGCAGTTTGTAACATCCACCAAAAGTCTGTAAGCACAGAGGAAATCGGCTCCCAGGAGCGGCGGCCATGACGAAGTCCTAGCCCAAACGCCACCCGCTGAAACACACCTCCACATACCTTGTGCCATAGGTACGTATGGGCGTGCCGTTGGCGGCATCCATCGGGGGGCTGTGCCTGCCAGCCATGGTGTCTGCCGGTTTCGCCGGCAGGATGCTGTGCTGAGCACCACAATCGACCAGCAGCCGCCGGTCGGACAAGGTGTTGGTGATGAATAACAGCT